GAAATACCCAGGCCACGGTACTGGTTGAGGAGAACATCCACACTAAACACAAAAAGACAGTTATTATCTTAAAAAGGGACGGAAATGTTTGTGAAGCCATATTTTCGTACTTGCTTGAGAGACAGATGTACTTTAATCCAGGGTATAGTTTAATCCAGGGTATAGGATAGTGGAATGGTCTGGAGGGTGATCTTAAAAATGCCAGATCTATGTAAATAATTATCCCAGCACACAGCCACAGTTTGATGGCAACAGAAACGAGATAAAAAGACACAAAAAGAGAAAAAAAAGCAGCTTGTCGTTTTGGTTTCTAAGGCAGAATATAAAAGTGGGCATGTGCAGTTTATGTTTTAGTTGATGTTTTTAGTCCGGAAACGTGTGTAGCATCGGTGTATAACAAAACAGCAAACAAAAGAAGTTACCAGCCTGATGATATGATGACCTAAGTTGTTGTTGACATCATTCAAGTCATGAAACACTTTGCAGATCATAYAAAAATTGGTGTTTTTGTCCAACATTTACAGTGTTTAGGAGCCAGAAAGACATCCTAAATGAAGCTGTAAACAGCAGAACAGAAGGAGGTTGTGCTTTGAGCCTTGGACACTGATGACACTGAGATGTTTGTGATCTTATAGTATGAAATATACAATACAACTAGATAAATGAGGGTAAATAATTGTAAACCTTAATGTAAAGCTTGTCTTAACACAATGGATTCATAGAACCAGTGTTGGATCCAGTATAGACTTATGGACGTTTCCCCTCAGATWGATGCAGATGATTGTTTAGATCACAAAGACCTTTAAAAAAAAGATACAAAAATAACTTAAAATTAACAAAGCTGCCTAAAAAGCCTTCCGCTGGCAGATCAACTTCAGACTAGTTTGCCTCCCAGATGACTGACCCAACGCCTGTGGGTCTGTGACCAACATGTGACCCTGAACAACCCTCAGGATGCCGACAGACTCACAAAAAGGTCAAACGTTTGGAGCAACAGTGAGCGTATCAAATGAAATGTCTTCAAGAATTGATTTTATTTTCTTTTAAAAAAGTCACTGATGAAGAAACTAATATTAAACTCTGTTTTCCACTGAAGTGGCTGAGAAATTAAGTGTTATTTTTTACCAAATTTTTAATTTATTTATATATAAAGCACCCTTCATTGTACATTATATAGGTTAAGAAAATAAAATATTACATAACAAACCTATTAAGCTACCYAAATCTGTTCATTATCAACACAAAAACCTCATTTAAACAGAAAATAATTCATTTGTTACGAGGACTCCTTTATTTAGCAAAGAGTTGTGACCTTAATGCTCGACTGTTTACTCCCATTTCCTTCAAGCTAAGAATAAAAGCCAAACCGGCATGGAGAGGTTTCACGTTGCTCCTTCATTAGAGAACCAGTGTGTAAATGAAGGCCTCGGGACGAGGGAGGGASGGGGTCAAAGTGCCATGCTGGCCTAGACGTCAGCACAGAAAAAGGCAGCGGAAAGAAACAAGCCCACACAAAGCCTATTAGAGTCCAGACTAACGCCATTAACATCCACACTTATAGAGCGCGAAGACTGGGCATCGATCGCTCAGACACTTGAGACACTGCACGAGTGCACACATGTAAATCACACACACACACACACACACACACACACACACACACACACACACGGGAATGGCTTCCTTTTGAAAAGAAAAAACGAGGAGCAGAAATGTAAAACGTGCAGCGTGAGCAGCTAATCTGCCTCTCAGTGCTGCTTACCTACAGGAGGGGRTGATGCAGACGCTCCTGTGGGGGGAGGATAAGACTCTGAAGCTGATCAGGAAGTGTCCCCCCCCCMCTTTTTTCTTTTTTTTTTTAAACCACAGAGGAGTTCTCARGACAAGAACCTGGAGGGCATAGAGCTCTCCACATTTTGGCCACTTTTCTCCTGCTCACATCTGCTTTCACCGCTTTAATCCTAACGTGCTCCTCTGTCATTCTGGGATTATCACACTGACTCACGCTATTGGGGGGGGGG